CAAACACGTCGGAGACAGCCAGATACTAATAAGAGACTGCAGTCATTATGCAATATTTCAGTTTCCAATATCAGAAAACAGCTGAAGAAAATACTCTTTTCTTGTTGAGGCCAGAAGTAGGAAGGCCATCTAGTTAAAAAAATAGGTGTTTGATAACCATTAGTACAGTAGAATTTATCTAAGGCAATGACTGGTAGGTTAGTGAACCAATATATATTAAACTGTTGTTTGATTTTACACATAAAACCAGTATCTATTGCTTCAGCTTGACTCCAAATACAAAAAAAAATATTGGCTAGTCACAGCATTTTACATATGTTTATACATGTAGCTAGCATGGAAATATATGCTTTTAAAAAAACCCAGTTTTTAGGAAACATTGTTCTTCACTCATCCAATTGAGTCCTTCCCCTTACCTGAACACTTCTCAGCACATACCTGTGCAGGACAAACAGGATGCCAAACCCAAACCCTCCTATTTTTGCAGAACAGTCTGACAGGCCAAATGCACTGCTCTGGGAAGGTAATAAAACTCCGTGTACAGGCTTGTAATAGGGAATTCTGTTCATTATTTTAAAGCATTGTCCAGTATCGTACACTTCCTCTAAGACTCAACATAAGGATATTGACCAGCTGGGGCAAGTCCAGAGGAGGCCCACGAAGATGCTCAGAGGGCTGGAACCCCTCTGCTATGGGGACAGGCTGAGAGAGTTGGGCTGGTGCAGCCTGGAGAAGAGAAGGCTCTGGGGAGACCTTATAGCACCTTCCAGTACCTGAAGGGGCTACAAGGAAGCTGGGGGGGACTTTTTACAAGGGCCTGTAGTGACAGGACAAGGGGTAACGGGTTTAAACTGAAAGTGGGGAGGTTTAGATTGGATATCAGGAAGAAATTCTTCTCGGAGAGGGTGGTGAGGCACTGGAACAGGTTGCCCAGAGAAGCTGTGGATGCCCCATTCCTAGAAGGGTTCAAGGCCAGGCTGGATGAGGCTTTGAGCAACCTGGTCTAGTGGAAGGTGTCCCTGCCCATGGCAGGGAGGTTGGAACTGAGAGATCTTTAAGGTCCCTTCCAACCCAAACCATTCCGTGATTCTATACTGGATCTACCTGCCGGTAAGTACCTTTGTATGCAAACATCTATGACAATCTCTGCCAGAAAATCTAAGTGCATTCTTTAGGGAGGATAGGGTTCTCAAGTAAATTCCTTTCCAGAGCTGCCAGCCATTTGAAGCCATGAAGCCCAAAGGCTTAGTTAAAAGTACAACTGTATTAAGCACACTGAAAGCAAGACAGCCCTTCAGTTTCTCAACAATCAAAGGAGGAATGATAAAGAAAATTTCTAGATATTCAGACACCTACTCTAGTCATGGTTTTTATACTTCATAAGGAAGTTTGTGGTCTACATTTGGAAAGCACTTCGAGATCAGGCTCTCTGGGATGCAAGCGCAGCAGCTTTTCGTGTGGAAGACCAGAGCTGGGACCATCAGCAACACTAACCCAGAAGTACTTTTAGATACATACAGCAGCAGAATCTTCCCAGGTGCATTGGGTCTGGCTGAGATGGGATTAATTTCCCCACAGCAGCCCTCAGTGCTGTGCTTTGTATCAGTAGCCAGAAAGGTGTGGATAACACAGCCGTGTTTTGGCTGCTGATGAGCAGCACTCATGCAGCACCAGGGCTGTCTCTCCAACATGTTCCCTTCTTGGGGATGGGTGAGATCTTGGGAGGGATGAAGCCAAGACAGCTGACCCAAACTGACCAAAGGGATATTCCCTACCATATGACGACTGATCAGCAATAAGAAGCTTAGAGGAAGAAGGAAGGAGAGAGATTCATTATTTACACTTGGTCTTCCATAGTGACCACTACACATACTGAAGCCCTGCTTCCTGGGAAGTAGCTGGACATCACCTGCTGATAGGAAGTAGAGAATAAATCTGTTTTCTTTTGTTTCCATGCACAGCCTTTGCTTTTATTAAACTGCCCTTATCTTGACCCACAAGTTGCTTTTTTCCTCATCTTACTTTCTCCCCCACATCCTTCTGCTGGGAGGGGAGACAGGGAATGATAGAGCAGCTCGGTGGGCACCTGATGTCCAGCCAAAGTCAACCCATCACATCAGGCTGTGAAGAACCTACAAACCTGAATTCAGTGTAAACTGCTCTTCAGAAACCTGCACTTCATATTCCATATGATTTGAAGTGGGTATCGTACGTGAAGAAAGGTCATCCTAAATTCAACTTATCCAAACCAAGACAACTGACTAAGGATTACATTAGAGTGAAGACAGGGTTATTTTTGTTTTAGATGCAGTTAGTGGCTTGACCAGTACAAAGTGCCACACTAGAACTTGACCAAAATTTGGAAAAAAACATTAGAAGTGAGAGTTAGGAGGTAACCATGTCTGAAGTACAACAGCAGCCCTACCCGGCTAGAGGGGCAGCAGTCAAAATGGCAGCATCCAGTCACGTGCACATGAGGAGCTATTTCAAGAAAAACAGTTCTAACCATGGTAAAACTATTTTAGTATTTATAGTTAGAAATACAAGCTGAAAGTTACAGAAGTCTTAGCTATAAGTTGGAATAGTATGATAATACTAAGGACCTAAATAGGCCAAGTGATTAAAATTTTGTTAAGACATGTGAAGGATGATGCACCACTAAGTTACCAGAGTGGGTAATTCTGTAACAGCAACAATTGTATCTTTCAGCTAGGTCTTACCCATTGCCAGTGGCTACTTCCATGTCACATCACACAATACAGTTAGGCCTTCTTTCATTACTATGCATGGCCAGTTGAGACAAGAAAAGTTTTCAGCTATCCTGAAACTCCAAAAGTACGTTTCAAACAAAATTAATTCATATAAGACTTGTCTTGTTTGGAATTTTTTTTCAAAATACCATTTGGAATTAATGCCATGTGACAAAGCAAGTTTACAAATCAAAATATCTATAATTCTTCACACTCATCTTGCATCTCAACTCTGAAATACAAAATGCCATTTAGATACTGGGTTCTCAGAGTCTATGAATAGCTGCAAACTGGTTTATTTTTAGGATTACATGGACTTGGATGCAGCAAGACAATATGTGAAGTCAGCAAGTTTTCACGCAATATTAAAGCTACCAGATACACTGTATCAGTAACAGGTTGAGTCACCTTCAAAACACTGACAGGTATTGTTCTTCAGACACATAAAGGAACAATCTTAGTTGCATAACAATTAATGGACACGTACAGATCTTTTAACTCGGGTTTCTTCAAGACAGACTACGAGAAACCCAAATGCTCTATTCTGTACGTAAACGCAAAGTAAATCTGTTTCTATCTTCAGTTCTCTTAACTTCACTTATCTTGTGCAACAAGTACTTTGCAATTTAATTTTGCCTTTGTTATTGTCTGTCATAAATGTTAAAAATAAGCATTTCTCCTTTGTATAGGACCAGTAGCTAGTGTTGACCTGTTACTCGGTCTTTCTCTCAGCACTTTAGATACTACTTTAAAATTACACAGTAAAGACAAGGCTTGCATAACTAACCGAAAGGATAACACTACCATTGGCAAATAAATAATCAGAAGCTGAATGGTATTTCACAAGCTTTCTACGCACAAGACAAGCATTTCTAACATCACTAAATATCACTGGAACAGAGTAATATCACAAAATTAATTTTGTATGTATATGTATAAACATACCCCGGCTGGCTTCTGTAGCAGGTGACTTTCTAAACAGTAACCACAACTTTCCTCCAAAACAAACTAGCACTTATTTTAGATCCAGTTTTCTATTTTTAAGCAGTTAATCAAGCTCCTTTGCTTCTTTCTGAGCAAAACAAGAAATTAATTCCTTCTTTTCAAGTCCAACAGATGCAACTGCTGCCTAAACAAGATCAAGGCAGTAATTTTGGATTATAAAGGTGGGAACAAAGCATCCTTGTAAGAATGCAGGTTATTCTAGATCTTCATTCTAATGCACAAAACCTTATTTTCCTACTTGAATTTGAATGTAAGTGGGCTAGAGGTAGCAAGGTACAAAAAAATCCCACCCCATATTTCTTTAAATGTAAAGTTTAATAGTAGCTATTCATAGTTCTTTTTTCCACTTTTTAAAATTTTGACAGAAAAATTTAATAGGGAACACAAAAATAGACAGGGAGATCTTGAAGGTGACTAAAACTAATCAAAATTTGAGTTGCATTTTGAGTTGATACCAGATTATGTATTGCTCTCCATGTGGAAAGGAAAAACATTTAGAAGGTTATCTAACTTTGAACCAAATAGGCTTTTTGTTACAAGTCTCTGAAATATCCCAAAACACATTTTTCTGTAACATCAGCAGCCCATGGGGTTGAAACCAGGCTCTCCACTGCCAGAGTATCAGCAGAGGATGGATTGTAAAACTTCTCCAGTCAATAACAAAGCATCTTGAAGTGTTCAGGGTTCAGACAACCATTAAGAGACATGAAAATGTCTGTGTGTTTAAACAAACATGGTTTCAAACAGGCAAAAGCACAACAGTTCACTAAAAAAATATTTTCAACACAGAAGCATGCAGTTTATTAGAGCACATTCTGCCAACACTGTGTGTATTTCCACACGTGAATAATCAACCTCATCAACTTTAAACAGAACTAATGGCACAGATTTATGTTTGAGAATCAGGGCCAGTAAGTGTTCCACCTAACACGCAATTAGTACATCAGCATTCTGAAAGGCATACAGCAAAATGTTATTTACACTCTATTATTAGACTAAAGGCAGTTCAAAGTGTTGGCTTTTTACTCAGATCATGTTTTGTAAGGTTTATGCAAAAATTAATTTTAAACAGACACGTGCAAACTCCCAGAGTATACCGCTCCCTACACAAAAGGGAGAAAGCCAAATAATATCCAATTTCTCTGTTTAGCATTTCATATCTGCTCAACTGTCAGCTCACAGTAGCTTAATGGGACTTTGATAACTGCAGCATTCATCAAGGCAAGCTTCTGGACAGCATCTCACCTGGTCTCTTCATCATCCCAAGCGATTCTCATGCCTTTCCCACCACCACCTGCTGAGGCCTTGATCATGACAGGGTAGCCTAACAGCGGGGAACAATTAGACAGAAGTTCAAACTTTGTTCAGTTGGTCAGAGGAACATGACAACTGACCACATGTCCAATAATGCCAGTAGACAATAACTTGGTTTATTAAAATACTTTGTTTGGAGGGAGAGGAGAGATTTTTCTTTTCAAGACTTAGCTGTCAGTGCAGTGATTTCTGAAGCCAAGAAAGGTTGTCTTCTCCATTTCATTTATACCAAAAAAAAAAAACCTGAATGAATTAATCCCAAGTAACAGAGTGATTTATTAATAAAGGCATTTGACCTTTCTAAGCGCACATTTTAGTAACAAAATTTTGTTCCTTTCTAATTGCTGAAGTAAGCTATAGCTGTGATAGCTTTTTTTAATAACTAGCAAAAATAAGCAGGAGATCTTCATAAACTATTGGTCAAGAGATCCAGTAAGCAAACCTATTTTATCAACACTTCTGGTGCAGTACATTTTGAATAACACAGCACCTCAAAAGAACTGTGCTTCTCAGACATTGTGTAATAAGTATCACAGAGAATATTTTTTTTTAATTAAAAAAAGGTGTATTTTCCCCAAACTGACAAGTAGTAAGAAAAAATAAGCAGCAAAAGTCTGACAGCATTTTGCCTAACTGGTTTATATTTCATTCTCTGAACAAGATACCTTAATATGGGTGTGTCAGGACCTTAGTTTTCTGAAAGTCAGAAAAATACAGTAATAAAGTATGCAGCTTAAAAGCAGATTTAGTAATGATTGTTTATCTTGTAGTACAGTATTTAAATTCAATGCAACTTCTTAAAACAATTTCTTCTTCATATCAGTGAACTTCACCTTTCTCTCACACAAACGCAAAGACATTTGAAAACTGCGGATCTGATTAGGAAGTTTGACATTCCTAGGACAGCAGAAAATTCTTCAAAAGCCTTTGGTCTCCAGTATGTTTAACTAAAATCATAACATTAGGTCAAATACCAGACCAGCTGATACTGGCTAGCAAGAAGAGTCCATCAGTCCTTGCAATCTGAAGATACATTCTATAAAAGGCTTTGATCTGGGGACAGAAAGGGAGATTTGAACATGGTTCCCAACAGGAACGGTAAAGCCTGTATCATATGTGTAACTAACATTTACAGTTTCTTTCTGGAATGTAGATCTACTCTTGCTTTGTCAAGTGACAGTGATATAGTATGCCTACCTCCTTCCCAAATCCATTTGACTGAAAGGAGGTTCAAGAGAAGATAATTAAAACCAGCAAGATCTGGAAAACATTTGGCTTAAAAAGACTGAAGTGGACAACACAAAGAAGAGGGACATGATAGAAGCATAAGAACTAGTAGCACTGATAGGAAGGCAGGAGAGCAGCAACAGTACAAGAGACCATTAAATTAATGAAGAAACTGAAAAAGAATCAGTAAAATATTTTCCAACAGAACAAGTTACTAGACTGTGGAACCCCATGCTACAGAGGATTCATGTGGCTGAAAGCTGCAGAAAGGTAATAGATACAGAGCACAAACAAAGTTCCTATAGACAGGGATGACCAAAAGGCTGTAAATCTTCATGCTTTAGAGTCTAAAGTAATCTCTAGTTACTAGGTGCAATGGTAAGACCAAGCAAATGAGCTTGTAGAGCATCTCTTATGTTTTCCTATGAAGTAGCTGTTGCTGCCTGCAGAGGGGTATGGGATAAATCAGAATAATGGATTCAATCCAGAACTATACTAAGCATTTCAAAGGCCTCTACAATCCCAGAGATAAAAGGGCACATGCAAAATAACTCTAAACTGCATGCAGCAAACAGTGAAGTTCAACTCCTTTTCATGAAACGCAGTATAAGCAGTATCTGTGTAAGGACGATTTGTCTATGCTGTAGCTGCTTTTCCAGATCCCTGGCAACTGCCAGGCTCCTAGACGAGTCACTGGCTATCTTGAAATAAAGCAAAAAGTACATCTTGTATGATTCTCATGGAAGAAAAAAAGATTTAACCAGGTAAACACTAGCAAACTTACACCTCTGGCAACAGTATCACCAGCTGGAGACTCTCCAACTTAAGAGGCTGCCGTCTAAAATAAGCATTGTTTTAAGCTTTATTATGGCAAGCTCACTATGGTAATTTCCATCACCTGATTTATCTTACTCAGTATTACACATACTTGAAAAAATCATCATCAATTATGCTAACCATTTCAGTCTCTTGAATGGCTTGCTGATTTTAATTCTGTAAGCAGGCTCTAGGCCTAATTTACCATTCTTTCATTTCAACAGCAAAACAGGTATGCTGGTAGTGAGCCTTGGTGAGTCTTTACATGCCACAGAATATAAAACTTCATATATCACAAATCACATAGTTAAATTATCAGACAGAATACACAGGTTACTGGTGTCATTCACCAAGTGTAAGAATACTTTCCTTCCCCCTACCCCACCTTTTATGTATACTGATTACATGTCAACCACACTTGTATGCAAGGGAGTTAGATGCCAGAGAGCCACAATATAGTTAAATCTTTAAAAAAAAATCAATTAAAAAATCCAAGTAAGGCCTGTTTTGAAAAGATACGTACAGCTTTTCAGGTTAAGGAGAAAAGTCTTTGCAACAGACCTCTACAAGTTCGAATGACAGTTAGCCCCATGAAAATAAGGGGGCTTGAACTCTTGCTTAAATATGCCTTTACAGACTACTTGCTCTCTGGGGCACTGAACTAAGCAAAACAGCAGTTCTTTGGCCAGCACCAAAGACTGATGTGTGCTAAGACAAGGAAGGCTTTGTAGACTCTTAAATTTTGTGTGCATACTGGGTATAGAATACTGGGATTAGGACATGTTAATCGTCATTCTAACCGCTTTTGCACTCTTCAGCAGCAATCAAAATCGCTGCAGTATGCCCACATGGATTGGTTGGATCAGTTGTGGGGAGGGAGAGGCATGCAAACAATTTCTAACAGCATTTATAAGGACCCATGACAAGAGCAATGAAGAGTCTCACAAAGCAGGCACATGGAGTGGGCAACAGGTTTTCAGCCCCTCCTTCAAATTAGGTGCTGATTTACATGAAATTAAAATTGCATGCAAGAACGTAAAACTACATAACAAGAGCAATTTTTATTCTCATGATACATCTGAGGGATGAGTCTAGCAAGATCTTAGAAGGCAGGACTGTAAAAAGTTATCAGATTTGTAGATCATCAGGCAAATTTTTGCTGCTTGATAGGTACTATTAAAGTTAGGACTGCTTTGTTTCCAGGGTGGTTACTGTGCTGAGAATCTAAATGGTAAAAGGGGCAAACAAACTTCTGGTATCCCACAGATGTTATTCCCATCCTTTGCCACTGTTGTTTAAGATGTTATTTATCCATTTTTTATGAAGTTGCAGGTAGTAGACCACAGAATGTATTGTGCCATCTCAGTTTGAGCAACACTACATGTGGCAATACCAGATTCTTTTCACTATCCATTCTTGAAAAGCTAGTGCTAACTAAACCCATGTCAGATGAAACAACAAAAACATGTTTTTCACCTCTTCAGGTTCGTATAGACTCATTTAGTTTAACTACCTGCATTTCATAGTTGTTCAATTCTCCCACACAAACTGAAGAGTAAAGAGTTTCATCAATACTTCAGAAATCCAGAGTTCTTAACGTACAATTTAAAAACAGACTTAAAAGTAGCATGGGAAAAGAGCCAATGTGATTAAGCACTACAGAAAGGATCACAAGAAAACAGCCCACACAGACAGAGAAAAGAGACTATAGAAAGGAGCCTATACAGCAGTTTGTGCCCTAACTTCTTCCAATTCCTGATTTAGCATAGGATTTCTCACATTCTCTCCTGAAAACTTGCGGGAGCACATCTCAAATAAGGGGCAGAAGGTAGGTTTTAATCCCACACTTATAAATTTCTGTCCATAAATAAGAGTCGCTGCAACAGGTAAAGGCAGTGTCTCTACCGTGGTGTGCCATGGCTCCACTGCTAATGGATCTTTGGCCAGAATATACCAGGGAAAAGCAAGAAAAAACACAGGCAGCAAGGGAACACTACACAATGCTTTGGAGTTTTAAGCACTGACTCAATTTTTTTTTTTTTTTTAATACATACTTAGCATTCTTGGAAGACTGAGGCTCTGGATAAGTGAAATTAAAATTAATCTGAAAGTATTCATTGCATATTAAGCGCCTTGTATACGAGGATAAATGCATTATACACAGGATGCTAATTTCATCCTGGTTTAGATCCTTTGAAATTACACATCATTGCGTTTTATTCTAACTAGTGGTCATAATTACATAGAAGCTTAACCAAACTGATGAACTGGTCAAAACATGGGTGGGAAAAAAGCTAGAAAGGCCATTTTTTCTTTCACTACATGGCATCATCATACAGACCTTTTCTGCATCAGACCTTTTGAGTTTGCCATCTAGAGAAGATACCACCCAACTGTCTATGACTGACTTTACTATCTACGGCTTTGGGACTGGAGGTCATTACATCAAGGCAAAGTGCTACTGATATCAAAGACTGGAACCAGTCAACAGAACTACTCAGAAGAAAATTAAGCCAGAATACATTCTAAAGGGCATCTTGGAAGTCACTGAATGCCTTCTGACGCACATTAAATCAAAGCTGCTTTAAAAGTACTTGCAGGAAATCTTTAACAAACAAGAGCAAGAAAGCATATTGAAACAAAACTGAAAAAGAAAGGTATGCCTTTAAGGACTAAAACCAATTTATTTCTCCTCCAAATATTCCAATTTGGTTGATAACCTCTTCCTTTTGTTTCTGCTCCCGGGACAGTGATCAGTAAACATTTGATTTCCCAGTGCAGTCATATAAAGGCTGACCCACCGAAACAGACTTCAGTTGTGTCAGCCTAAAAGCCACTCAAGCCTACACCGAGGGGTTTCAGGGAAGGTAATCACGGCAGGGTAAGAACCCCAACTTAAAGTGGAAACACATTACACTGATAAAGAGTCATCTGCAGCACTGCAAGTCCCAATTTCTATTTGGCACATAAGGCCCAGCCATAGCTTTTGACACAGGTGAGAAGTATTGGTAGCTAGGTCAGTAAGAGAAGCTTCAAATGTAGATCTAACCTTTTAATTACGTACCTGTGATGAACCTAAATAGCTTCTCATGGCTTACTGTCTCTCAAAATGAAAATGCAAAAAATAAAAACCCACCCAAGAAAAGTCTTATTGCATTAGATTCTTCTTCTAGAAAGCATTTAAGAACATGTAGAATTTCGAGCATATGGTTAAATAATTTTCCCTAATATTAAGCTTTAGTAAATAAAAGCCAGAACTCATTAAACACATATTACACTTAACCGTTGTCAAAATGAGTCCTAGACAGTTTGCTGGTTGCTTTTTTCACCATCCTGTAAGATATTCAGAAGCTGAAGAGTGACTTTATTCCAGAAAGCACAGAAGACAGACCAGTGGTCTGGATGATATTCAGGCTAATTGCAGTCCACACAGTGATGAGGAATGAAGATCCTAACATCACCGGCGTCAGCATCCATAAAGAGAAGTGTACCGTGGCTAAGTTCTGACTATCATCTCCAATTACATAAAGGAATCAACTCCTTCAGCGAGTGACTCATTACTGCATATTACATGCATTCCACAAATCATGGCTACACTTGTTCCGTAAAGTCCAGTTTGTAAAGCTAAAATCCGATGATTTAAGAGACAGGGCGTTAATGCCTAGATTCTCCCAGGCCTATAGGCAACAGGGAACTTAAAAACTATTAAAACATTATTTGTTCTATAGGGATTACTTATTACACATTCAATTTAGTCAACCATGTCTGCTGAGAGGCACACAAATCCCACCATAGCTAATTTAAGAACTTACCAATTTCCCTTGCAATTCTGACAGCTTCATCTGCATCCTGTAAAAGCAGGAAATGAGAGCCAACGTTAATCCCATCAGCCATTGCACTGTGTCCTGAGGGCAGTCATATATTGCACTACTGTCTCCTCTGATTCATTTAATGTTTGATTTTACAACCTTCTGACCCTTTTCAGCCAGAGGAATGTAAAATTAATGCCATAAGTGGAATGTAAATTCTACCGCATCATTAGTAGACTGAGAAACTCAAAGCAACGAGGAATCAGCTGACAGGAAACAACCAGGATCGCAAAATGATTTTCTGCAGTTTTAGGAATTTAATGCTAGAATTTAGAAGTTTACAATCAATAATGGACCATAAATCAGATCGTTAAAGTTTGTCCGCTGCCAGCTTTTTTCTGTCCTCACAGGTACTCCTTGTGTTTTCCTGGTTGTTGTCAGTAGGGGGAGTTGATTCTCTATTGTTTGGGAGGGATTCAGGTTCAAAAAAAATCTTGCAGACTTCTTTAAAGACAATTTTTGTCTGCTGAAGAAAACACACAAGCAATTCACTTTTGCGAGTTTTTCATTCCAAAGACAGAATAAACTTATATGTATCATTTTAAACTTTATCTGAAGTGAGAAGGTTCATTCACATAGTTCTTTTCATTAAAGAGTCCACACATTCCTAGTGTTAGACAATTAGAAAAATCTTTTTGTTGATGCCACCTATTGCATCAGCTGACCCGTAGCCTGGTACAGAAAAAAAGTTCTAAGAAACCCAGAGAATAAAAACAAACCCCAAAATACTTGAACTTCTTAACAATGAAATCTCTTGTCCTGCAGTAGTTAATTCTGGTTCCTTCTACCGGTAACTATATTTACATTACACAATACTAGAAAGAAAAAGAGTTAAATTACAGTGGCACAGATTAAGTTTGAATATTCCATCCAAAATTTGCTAATATTTATACTATTCTGTGACATGCATTAAAAAATTTGTATAGAAGGGAGTAATGTCTGGAAACCACCAGCTGCTAAGTGTGTCTGAAGCTATGGGGGCTGACTTATGAACATTAAAATGAAACCTGATATTTTTAAAGCTTTCAAGGCAATCCGTTTTAAAAGCACCCAGGTCAGAACTTTAAAAAAAGAACCATAAGAAATGTTCATACCTGGTTCATTTATGTCCGATAATAAAACAAAATCCTCTTTAAAAGTCTTCAGTACCTAGTAACAGCCCCGTGAAGAATAAGGGGGCTGGCAGGGGAAGTTGTCAGAAAATTTAATTTCCTTTCATTAGCTAGTCTGCTCCACAAATCGGTGCTTGTTAAGTTCAAAGCAGTCCTGAAAGCAACATCAGTTTTAAGTCTTTTTACTCCAGTCACATCTGTTAATGAGATTTTTTTTTCCCCCCAAATAACAATTGTTTTTAAGTCAAGAGATAAATCTAGCAAAAAAAGTCTCCCCCGACCCACCCCCTCCCAAAAAAAAAAAAAAAATCAGGGTTTACTGTTTTATTACACCTTGCTGCTTTCCATGACCCTGCACCCTCCAAATTTTAGCTTAAAGGGATAAAATGCATGAAAAGGGTCATTTAAGAATGTTAGTGGTTTCCACACATTGAGTTTGAGGGTTCTTTGTTCCTGCCCGTGACAGTTATGCGAGAATACTTCCCCTTAATAGCCTCTCTGTCAGGAAGTGTTAAACCTGCCAAACGCGGACAATTAGAGCCTCTGGAACAAAATGCAGGAAGAGTGATGACTGATGAAGAGCCACGATTATAGCCGAGAAGGAAACTTTTACATTTCTTTTCTCTTGCAAATTTACTCATATATTTGCAAAATAGAACTGGGGGGGGGAGGGAGAACAAACAGGGTGAAATTTTTTTTCACTTAGTTACCTGCAAACAAGTGGCAAAGTGACACACTGCAGTCCCCGGGAAGACAAGCTGCAAATCATTACAGGGCAACTTTTCACTGCCACTGTATTTTTTATACGTGCACACAACGACTTTAATAAGCAGCATCGCATCAGCGGCGCTAATTGTCTCAGTTCTGGCTTGAACAGACTGAAGTCATCTGCCCAGCACAGTTATTAATTTACACTATTTCAACATCTGTTTCTTTTACAGTTCTTAGATATTAGAACCCAAACTCTAAGTTTTTCTTAAAAAGAGTAATCAATGCATATTCAACTTCTTTAGCCTTCAAAGTGTTTCTGAAATAGAAAACAAGTCTGCTGTGCTTTAAAGAGAAAAGCTAAACCAAAAAAATTAAACAACTGACATACTGAAACCTCTGGTAAGTATTTTGATATTTCCCCCCCGCCCCCAAGAAAATATGTTTTAGTACCATGCATTTAACTTACAGATCACAAATCCAACAGCAGTTTGAATACTCAGAGAGTTAGGACAGTTATTTTAGATTTTTGGCGCAAAGAACTTACCACAGATACACATTTGCCATGGGGAGGGGTGGGGGCAAAAACTGAATGCTATGACACTGCATCACACACAAGTCCGTATGTGCAAAATATAAAAACCACACTGGTACTAAAAGCATTTTGAATTTTTTTTTTTTTAAAGCAAAAGTCCCCAATGATTTACTGCCATTTCCTCCAAAAACATATATTAGCTACACTACCATTTTCCCAAAATAAACTGTAGATTGTAAAGAAATATATAATTTTAGCACCACCTTTTATTGTACAAATAAAAATGTTCAAGTAATGGTACAAGTTTATAAAAATCCTAAGAGTTGTAAAATGATGTCATAGTGTTTTTAACCTAATGAAATCGGGTATTTGTAAAAAAGACATAAAATACTAGTTTAGTGTAAGTATTTCTAACCTCCTGATTTCATGTACACACCTCTCTGCCGGGTACCAGCAGGTGGAGACAAAAAGGCAAAACTATTCTGAGGGAGAGCAATACCAGGGAAAAGCTGTTTAAGAGTCTCCTAGAGCTGTAAAACTTCATTAAGAGCTACTACGGGATAGTTTTCATGGCTGAGGGTGTTGGCGTTTGAGAGCCTCCAGTTCGTGTCTAGTCTCCAACCACCTCTCCAGCAATTCAGTGATCATTTAATACCAATGTCAACACCTTGATGCAAGAATACAGTCAAAACAGATACCTGAAAAACTTAAAACACAGTGAATTCATACAGCCTTGCTGGAAACCTTCAACACGTCTCCTGACATCAGTGAAACTAAGTCGACACCCAGATATTAATTTCCTGGGTCTACATCCAGCTGTGTTCTACCAGCCATAAAACCAAACTGACTGTATATGGTCAAACAACAAAAATCTTTCTTCCCTTGCCATTCCTTTGCCACTTTTTCACTGTGGCACCCTTTTACACTCATTACTCAGCCTTCACTTCCTTCTTGTCACTTATTCTCTTTACTCATTTACACACAATACATCTCAGCTCTAACTTTAGTATAGCCATTGCTCACATGGATTAACACTAATAACACTAATTCTTTTGATTAAGACTATTTACCATTATCTCTCCCAATCAGGTTGCAGGAAATTAATTGTAGTTACAGATTGTGAAGTTAGCTACCTTTGAATGCTTCTGTTGGCTCTCTAGCTGACAGCATCAGGCTCTGGTTCCTTCCACGTGCAGGCTGGATAACCCTTCTCAGCCAACTGAGAAACTGAACCAGGGATGAGGAAATTACTCTTCGCTAAACTACCTTGTTCATTCTCACTCCACATTTTTCCATTCTCAGTTTGCTATTTGCTACAGCATTTGCCTATATGATGAAGTTGTGTCTTTTGCCAAGCATCTTCCTCTTCAACCCTTCCAGGTCCTTATGTGTACTGCTGAAGGGCTTCCTTCTCTAGTTCCTAATTTAACTTCTACTCACTGGGAATTTTTCTGCATGTGACTTCTCTAGATGTTATTACAAAAGCTTAGCAACTCCAGCATCTACTACGTTTCAGCACTAAGCAACATAAGAGGGGAAAATACCTTTTATTCATGAAGGGCCTACATATCCAGCACTATTTAACAAGGGCTGGATAAAGACAACAACTCTTCAAGATTTTCAGTGCAGTCCTGAGTTGAATACAAAGCACCAGAAGTTGTTACTCTATGTTCACTTTAACTATTCATCCACAAAGAATGTGTGTGACTGATCTTTAACTTCTTGCATTGTCAGAGGCATGAATGCAGTTTTCTTCCACCTTTATGAGACTCCACTCTAAAGATGAAGCCACCTCTAATCAAGTCAAGTACCAAGCAGACACTTAACTCCATCTCAGAACCTTCAAAAACTCTATTTCTCAAGAAAAATAGCCTTCACAGATTCTGAAAGCTTCATAACTGTGACCAAAATGGGTCTCCCACAGACTGGCAGAAATCCTATACAGTCTCCAATTCCCTGTGTTGCTTTTCTGATTGTACCTGGTATCACACAGCTTTGCCCATTCTACCTCACTCTAAACTGGCAAAAATACTACACCGTGCTCTAATGAGAGATCAGTCAAGGATAATAGTATCAATAATCATAAGTTTCACTTCCTAGAACTGGTAACTAACACGCTGGTTAACCTAAACTTTTTCTCTCCCCCTTTGTGATGGAAACTACAACACTGGCAATGTCTGTGGACTCTCCTGTTTTCTTATTTGGTGGGTACACTGCAGGGTTGCTTGGGTTTTTTGGTTGGGTGGTCATCCCTCCCTCCCAGTCTCATGAGTTTTTTCCATCACCACTTTTCAGATAATCAGAACTAGTGCAATGCCAAGGTATGCAAAACTGGTATGATATGGGCACTTTGGGTTTAAGCAACTACTGCACAGTTCCTTTCAACATCTGAGGACTGCAGTTCTCAACTCAGTCCTACATTTCAGTTCATTTGGTGTTAAGACTGTCATTGCATACAGCCAACCAGATCACCTATGTTCTTTCATTTTGTGTCAGGACCTCGAGTTGTCAAAAAAAACCAGTAGAAGCGCAGAAACCGGTGCATACAGGTAAATAGCTCAGTTTCACTAATTATGGTTAGTCTTCAGTAACCACTATCCTACTTTGCCAGATTTCTTTACATTAGCAGAACAGACCTTTACATAGGTTTTATCTTGACACAGCAAAAAACAGTATTTTGGGTATTTGATTCTTCATTAGAAAGAATTTTGTGGCATTTAGATTACTTCAAATTTGTCTCCTAATCAGATGTTTTTTCTAGAAGTTATAGTCAGGATTTCTGTAAGAATACAGAGTATCAGACAGAGCAGAGGTCCTTACACACAATAGCTTGGCTGCTGTTAAGTCTTATGAATGCTAAAGGACCACATACACAAGCACTGCTGAAACACACAACACAAACCTGAAGGAATGATGCGTTCAGCTTCCCACTGCCAGACATTCCAGCCTAGCCCTCTTAAGGAGCCCTCCAGAGGAGGGAATTCTTTGCACTTTCACCTCTTGCAGCACATCCCACTGCCAGGCATCACCCACACCAGGTATTTCCATCACGAGTACTGAAGAATTCTCTTGTGCATTTTGAACTCAGCTATTCCATGATTTTGTCATTCTCTCAATAGCCAAGCTCTCCAGGCACCCTCATCAGAACTGGTAATTTTGTGGAGCCTTAGCCCCTTTGCACTCCATTCACCTCATTCAGTTGGGTTTGAAGTTTTTTCCCTCCAAAGGGTTTAAAATTCAACTTAGCTGACACAATGCTGAACACCATTATCCTGATAAACATTGCTTCTTAAAATATAGTCTGCATTCCATCAATTCTATCGATATATTCAGTTGTTGGCAATTATCTTTACATTTCTTCATATAAATAAGATTTAGGATGATCAGAGGTCAGAATCAGTTGTCTTAAGTAAAACCTGAAAAACTTTCCCTTCAACTACACTAAAGTGCTGTTGAAACAAAACTCTTCGCTTCTTCCTGCAACTCAAAATTTTACTCAAATTTTATTCAGGAGGGAATCTAACTTGACATGTCAAACAAAAAAACACACCCAGGAGGTCAACATTTTAAAATGCACCAAGGTTTTAGGCATATACAAAGGTTTTAAAGGAAAAAAAAGCTTCATTACCTATATTAAACACAGACAAAAAAAAAGACACACAGGAAAGCTTGTAAGAGCCCAATACTTAATCACTATAGCAGAAAATAAACCAAACCCAAATGTAGTTTATTTCACCCTATAAAATGAAAGAAACAACCAAAATACTTAGAACATAGTTGCAACTCATTCCTTCTAAAACCCCAGGATGAACACTAGCTGTAGATTCATATAAAAAGCCACCAACTTCCCTCCTACCCTCACCACAAGTTTTGCAACACATGGAAATCTACACCATCAGCAGAGACCATGATGGAAGCTTCACACGGTGTAACAAACTCCATTGTTAACTTAGGGCTGTCGAGATGTTGGCCAACAAGAAGTAAAGGCACAATAAATGTAAAGTCACATGCAGATAGTCAAATCCACCCCTGATATTTAACACACATTTACCTGCCTTGACAATAAATTTCAAGCCAGACATTTTTAGAGACGCCATAGAAGCAGTCCTTAGTAAATCATTAATTATGGACTCTTGCCAGTTAAAATCTGTACCCCATTTTTAATTACATCTTATTGAAAAAGAAGTTCAAGTCATTACATTCTACATCAGACCTTCAATAGGTGTACTTTGATTTTGACACTGTTCCTACAGTAGGCAGACAGTAATTAAATGATTTCTCACCTTGACTACTCCATCAAAGCCAGGGATTGTGTTGACCTTTGCATTCTTGGCTAACAATTTGCTTTCAATCTTATCTCCCATAGCTTGAATAGCATGTGTGTCAGGTCCAATGAAGGTGACACCTTCTGATGCCTACAAAGACAATGAAGATAAGTTCAGGAGATGAAACTAAAAATCAGTTTTAAAACAGACACTGCTATTAATTTTTTCCTCTCTTTTGAGCCCGTTAGTGAAAAAATGTTTAGAAGATAGTGATCTGTTTATGTACCAAACTACCAATATAAGCAGAATTTCAGCCAGTTCATTAAAAATGTGTATGACACTGAAACTATGTATGCACACAGATCCAAAGCCCCTGTAATTAGGATTTATACAAATCAAAGCCTGGCCAAAGAAAAAACAATAGCTGAAAGTGGAAGTACTCCAGTTTGAAAGTTAGAAACATCCCTTGAGAAAGCAGAGGCTAGTTAACTCACCATTTTAATAGCTACAAGTAATTTACAGAGATACACTTGCTAAACTGCAATGCCACTGAAAATTCCAGTACACATTCCTAAAACCAAACCTGGATGAAATACTGAAATGAAAGTGCAGTCTCTTACTCAACATAAAGATTTGAGAACAAGGTAATACGTGAAACGATGTTACCCCATGTCTTTCAGGCAACTCTTTTCCAGAATTAATGTGGAAATAGCTTAACATACTTCAATTCTTCAGCTTTAATACATAGGTAGAACATTCCCACCCCCCACCTCCTGTTCCTCTATGCCAGCAATAGACTTCAGTGATCAAGTACACAGACATCTTTTCAAACCTCCCCTACCCAAAGCAGGGTCAGCACTACACAGGGCTTAAAAGGCAGCTCTATCAGAACTGTTTCACTGGAAGTTACTGATGCATCAGTGAGTACACATGTTTCAGGGAACTTGTCTTTTGTACCATACAAAAAAAAACTAAAAAAGCAAAAGCATACTAGCCTTGCACAATTTTTTCCAACTGTTTCATTGATATTTTTTTCCCTCAATTCTAAGATACCTGCAAAATGTTCCAGCCAATGGGCCATTTACTTAATACCAACAATAACAGTGGCAAACATTCAATTTCTTATATCAGAATTTGTATGTCAAAGACAAAATAAAGACACATGTGCTGCAGATGTGAGGGTTGCCACACAGTTTAGTCACTGACAAAAAAGTGATTTGCTGAAGCTTTATTTATGCGACTAGTATGTGACCACAGAACAGACATAAAAATATGTTTAAGGTGGGGAACAACATCCTCTCATTCACGATCTTATAAAAGCTGAGAGTTCCCAATGTTTGGGATTCAGTTTTCACTGTCAGCAGCTTCCTAGCAGGCAGCATAACAGCAGCAGCTCTGCGCAGACAACTTCCTACCATCCTAGCTAACAGGGTGCTACAGATAACAGAGATAAGACCAGATAAGTATGACAGACACACTAGGAAGCTCAGTGCATAGACACCCAAACCAAATGCAGAGTATCGGTTTAGCTACATCAAAGGCTTGTTGGCCTCAGCTCACAACAAACTATGAGTTTTTATCTCATCTCCACTGCAATAGGCTTATTACCTCAGCAACTCAGCAATATTGATTTGATGGATAGCTATTTTACAAACACAAAGTTGGGAAGACTGCAACAGGAGGAAGGGATAGGAAGTTCAACACGAGGGTGCAGATCTATTGATCTAGTGCCAAAGGATCTGAACACCAAAGGCATTCACTTTTTAAAGGAGAAGGGAAACAAAGAGTTGATGTTTGAAGTCACAGTGACAAAGTTTGCAGCTGACCATTTCAGAAACAGCATATTACAATGTGAAAATAAATACTTTATTCCTTCACAGGAGTTTTAAATAGGTGCCTGAATACACCCAGAGGTAAGGCAGAGTTCCCTTCCATCAGACCGTATTCCAATCTCAAACCTTTATGGAAAGGTTCGTTTACATACTTGGCAGCTGGCAGTTATGCTGTCCCTCCTGTACCACTCCTAGCCGAGAAACTTTGTTCTGACAGTTTCTGCCATAACACTGGCATTTGCATCCTGCTCAGTGCCACATCCAGCTTCACTGTCTGCTGCCTCCTCTCCCCACTCTCTTTTCATAGTCTATCAAAAACACGGTATCTCCAGAGGTCATCAAGGTAGTGGGTCCCAAACTTTTGCTTCCCAGTGACAGGCACAGAGGGGACCACCTTGTCTGATTTGCTGTCTCTTGTCACTGCCTTGTGGCATGGGCTTTCAGACCACCCAGTTCATTCTCTGCTCCTCTCCAAGCATGTCCTTGGATAAGATGAAGACAGCACTATTCAGGAGAGATTTGTGAAGCACATGGGAAGGAACACTCCAGGCTATTTCATGAAATCAATCTGCTGCATCCTGTATATTTGTCACATGAATCTCAGAACCATAGTATTCCATGTGGGCATAACCAATACTTACTAAAAATCAAGTACCAGATTATGTGCAGCAGATTCATACATTAATGCAAACATCACTGTAAAAAGAGACAAAGATGCAGGTTGTGCAATGTATACTTTTAGTGTTCAGAATTTACAAACTGCAAAATTTGTCTACACATGCTCCCCCTTGGCTTTAACTGCTTTGAACCTTTATACCTCACACAGAACTGCTGGCTAATTGTGAACAAGCAGCAGCTTAGTGCCACCAGCTTACCCCAGTTGACTGACTATGGAGGGCTGTCATCATATTCAGTTATTTCCCAGCAACAAGAGCCAAAACAAAATAGTTTAACTCAATGTGGTATCACAAGATACCTGAAACTACGTAACTCACATGCTGCAACATCTTTAAATCAAAAATAAAGTCAACCAACCAAGGGGGATCCGCTGGCTTCCAGCCAATACAGCAAATCACTTCTCACACAGAAAGGGTATGCATTCTTTGACATGACTTGCAACTGAATTTAGCTAAGCTCAGCAGAAAGACTTTGTCAGCTTTGCCAAAGCTTGCCAGCTCATCACTAGAGAAGTGCTTCTTCACTTCCAATACTCTTACATAACATTATCTATGACCTGCTCAAAACTTTAGTGATTGATACTGTAAATTGTAAGAAAAGGCCATAATAAAGAATGTGGCAGTAACACCTTCAGCTCCCACAAAGATGTATCAGCACTCATCCCTTAGCATCTTTAGTTCATGAAATACACTAAAGTGGTGAAGCTGTGCAAGTAAGACTTGTTAGTACCTGATGACAGTCCATCCACACACAGATCTGCCAGCATAGCAGCAGCACCAGAACCTCTGCTGTACGCACACAAGCTTACACACTGCATATCAAACAAGTTCTTCCAAAAGTTCTATTATTCCTTCACACATTCAGCAGTACAGTCCAGTCTTGAAGACTAATTATCCGCCCACAAGAAATGTGCCAAGTGTCACCATAAACAAGTACCAGCATTTTCTTTAGGAAGATACCCGATACCTGTGTATCACTGCTCAGTTTTGCATAGTCAAAGGTACAGGCAAACAATAAGGAATATTGGATAAGGGAACAATTTCAGAATACACTCCATGCCAAGAAAATTAGTTCTTTCTTTGACTAAGAAATAGATACTAAGAGTTTTCCCCCAAACCCCTCTATTTCCAAAAGCAGCAATTTTTGCTTTAATTGCAGTGCCTTCAGAACTGCAAGCAGTTCATTTTCTCCTTTTTTACATCCCACCCCCCGACCGCCCTTAGGCCAGACAAAAGCCTTATTCTACCATCAGGGAACACAGGACCCCAAATATAGCAAAAATTACACAATGCTAAAGCAGGACAAGCAAAGGCAAGATTTGGAAAATCCATTTGGGAAGTCTGTGGTTGACCTGTGACCTTTGCCGTCTGTCAATCACATCTGCCTGCTCTGGGTACAGAGCAGGCTTAAAACAGACCTCTGCTAGCATCAGTTGCCATCCTCTTGATGTTTGGAGAGGACCTGTCTGTCTGAAGCTTCTGTAGACCTAAGGTAACTGAAGAGACCGACCCTAGAAGGGGAGACTCCTTTGCATCGCCGCCTGGAAATGATGACAGCAGAGATTCACAATTACTCAATTACAGAGCCACTAGTGGATTCAGCCTCAGCAAGACCATAAGCAGCATGAAGGAGGGAAAACCACATAATAAAAAAAAAAAACTTTCATGCACACTGGCTCCCTTGGCAACGTATACTCTTCTGCGGGCTTACTAGTATGTGGCAAACCAGCCAACTCACTGCCAAGCCTCTCAGCACTGCAGGAAATGACTGAACAGTTCCAACCCAGCTTTAGACAAAACAAGCAATATTAAAAAACTTTTCCCCTGTCTTGTTCCATGGTAGTTATGGACAATTAAACACACTTTTTGGTGTCCTCATTCAAGCCAAGATATTTGAATCTGAACATAACATCAATTTAACATGAGCAGGACTATCATGGTTTAACTCCAGCTAGCTAAATACCACCATGTACAAAAACACAGCTATCAGGAATCTTGTGTTCTTTCTTTCAGGATCATTTGGTGAGGGCATTCTTCCACTCACACTACACTGACGTGGCAAAACACAAACCAAGTGCCCAGCTGCTTCCAGGTGCAAGAGCCTCTGCAAGGATCTTACCACACAAAAGCAATGCAGTAATGCAGGCTTTGTGCTTGTCCCTTCCCTGGTACCCAAAATGGTTAGTTGTAGGAAAAGGTTTCCCATCTCTGAGGAAGAAATGGCTGAGAGGATCGAGATCTCCTGCTGAGAGGATCGAGATCTCCTGCTCTACCTTATTGAAAATAAGCTTTCCTACCTTAAACAGAGCTGGTTCTAAACAAGCTCTTGAACTGTACAGGAGAAGCCATCTGCTGCATGCAGCCATCAGATATGTTCATTTTCAAGATTACCCAAACCCAAGGTGCTGCTTATTGCAAGGCAGTAAGAGTAATTCCAGTAAGAGTAATCCACTCAGGAGAAAAGGGCTTAACCACAGCACCACTGGCTGGGTAGGCTCAGAGCCTGCAGTCTGTCAGGAGTAACCAGAGAAGCAAGAGAGCCAGCCTATTTGCTTTTCCCCCATGCTCTACTTCGTCTCCAACACATCCCTTCCCACAGTCCCATCTACCCCCCTTCTCTAGGGCAGGCTCTGGCACTCCT